TCTTAGAGCAGTAGGCATCTGTTGTGGCTTGCATTAGTAAGTGTAACAGTAAAAGAAAGTGCACAGATTCATAAAGGTCTGCCAAGCATTTTTTTGTGCACTCGTCTTATAGCAAGATCTGGCCAGTGCCAAAGCAGGATTTTGTAACTTGATGAAAAAACTTAGCACTACTGAGCAATATTGTGCATTCTGAACAGGCACAGAGACAAGATTTCAGCTTCATCCCCTATTAGCAGCTGATTTCTTACTGTAAAATCTTGTTTCTGAAGGCATGTACTGAATGGGAGGAAGGAGCGAGGTCTGTCTCTCCACAAACGTGTTTCTCAGGGGAAGCAGAAATCTAGATTATTTTCTTTAGTCCCCCAGCAAAGAAGATAGCTTGATGTAAAACTTCTTTGATTTATGTAGTCATTACAACCTGATCACAATGAATAATGCAATATTGCTTACTCATAACACACATTAAATGGGTATTCTGGGAAAGTTAAATTGTCTTGTTGCCAAGCGCAGCAATATCTTTGCAGACAACATGGGGGCAACTTTGCTGCTTATTTTAAAAAGCCAGTGAATCAGTCTACATTTCTCTGCACCATTTAGGTAATGCTAAACATGTCCCAGGACAAATTAAATATGTTTACAGCTGTGTGATTCTTTCTAGTAATCCATCTACTTGTAACTGTTTTATATTTACATTGTGGGTTTTTTTCAAGATGAAATAGAACTGACCACAGCTGCCAGTAGGGGGATGAAGTGAGAAAGGGTCAGAGCTGGGCTGTAAAAGTAGAGACAAGTTACAGCCTTATGGAAGAAAGACATTCAAATGAAACACTTCTATTTGGTGAAGACTGTGGAGTCTTTGCTAGAGCTGCACATTCAACATGACACATAAGGCATCATCATACTTGCTGAGTATGACCTCTTTACTAGAAAGCAGTCCTCCAGTTTTTCATGAAGAAACAGCTACCTGATGGAAATCTACTGCTTTAGACGTGTCTGAGGAGTGAATATAATTAAATGAATGAGCTGCAATCTGCCTTTGGCAGTATTTCATTTTTCTAAATGCAAAGCAAAATTCTGGATCCAGTCTCCTCACAAATTCCTTTCTGGCTGGGCATTTTATTTCAGGGTTCTTCATTACCTTTTGAATCAGCAGTGACACGTTAATCATTTTTATTTAATTACAGGAATTAAGCACTAACTGGATAATTCCCTGTGTGAACAACTCCTTGTTGGAAGGTATCTGGTATCTGGAACTCCAGCCCACTGTAGCCTACCAGCCAAAGTTCAGCAAAAACACTTAAATAAGTTTCTGTATGCCACTGAGGTACTTCAGTTGGTGAGCTATCCATCAGTCCTGGATAAAATGGCAATAATTTTTCCTACCAAAAAAAAGTTCTGATTATACTACGAGAAGTTTCTTGTGCTGTTGTGCTGTGACTTTCCTGAATTGTCTGTTTCTGTAAGTGATCAGAGTCACAAAGAGCAAGTTCCTGGCAATAGCCTAGGCTTTCTGGTGACTGTCTCAAGGTGCATGATACTATGTTCATCTATTGCTTTTAAAAAAGCAAAGTTTGTGTTTATTTGTCAGCAAGTTCAGTGTCCCTGTACATGCAGCTTCTTGGAATTCTTAGTTTTAGGGCAGACATCAGAAAAAGACAAGACAGGAATAAAATAGGGCAGCTTTCCCTGAAGGCTCACTTCTTGTTTGCAAAGGAAAAATTTGCCAGATGAGACTTTGTGCTACTGCCTCTGACTTCTCTATATCCTCCTTAAATAACAAACAAATAAGAGTTGGGATTGTTTGGTCCTAAAGTGAAATAGGCTTGCTTTGCCATCATGTGGTGGAAGCCACATATCTTGTTTGAAAAATAGCCAGTTTTAACTCTGCTGCTCCCAGATATGAAAAATAACCTTCCCCCTTCAATTTCTAAATATTTGGCTGTTTCCAGATCCTTTTTTAGATCAGGGCTTCAATAAAAAATATTAAGAGGTGAGGTAAAATTGCTTGGGACTGAAATACAAAATGTAGGTTCTAAATTCAAATGCTGGTTTCTTGTGTGGAATAGTTTGTGCTTTGTGCATAAAGAATGACTATTTAGGAAATTAAAGATCAAGATTTTACTTATCTTGCTTTTCTGGTCAGCTGGGCAGTGGTGATGGTGTGGGGGTTTGGGTCATCACGTAGGACAGCAAGCCACCAGGTTCAGTTTCCCTCTCTGCATGAGAATATTCCCAAACCACAACTGATCATGAAACCCAGACAAGTCAAGAGAAATTTTTCCACTTTAGTCAGCCAGATGCTGACCATTTCCAGCTGAGGTTAATAGCTCCTTTGCTTCACAGTGTCTTTCCAGCATGAGGAGCATGGGGAGGGCTGAGCAGTCCTGCCTGGTTTTGAAGGCAGAGCACAGAGGGGCAGGAATCCAAATACTCGGATTGCATCATTCCTTTGAAGTCACTCCTTCTTTGACTTCAGTTGTGGTAATGATCTATATCAGCTGATCTTTAGAGCCAAAAATAGAACTGTTTTGACGTGACCTTGGGCAGGCATATTGGATCACTTATCTGGGTTTCAGATGATCCACTTCAAATACAGTTCTATAATTTCCCTTGAGTTTTACATTGTTACCTGCTCAATGGGCTGTTAGAAGCCGAAATTTTCAGGAGAGACCAGAAGAAGTGGATGCTCATTTTTGATACCTGAATTCAATTTTGAGTTAGGTTTTCTCAGAAAATCTCCCAAGGAGTGCTTTGTAAGTTTCTGGTGTTATGCAAATGGCAACTATTACTGCTCTGTCTCAGCACATCAGATCCTGATCTGCTCTTTGGATTATCTAATCACTGGCAGCCCAAGTGGAGTAGAAGTAATTACACCAATACTTTCAACTGATTCCTATTCATGGAGTAGTAGTGAAAATGTTGATTTGAGGGATAGGTGAGCTAAGTAGTCATGACAGAATAGGCACCTGAGAGCTTTTGGGTCTGGATCTTGTTCCTGCTGTCAAAACAGCCATAGCAATGTAAGCAGTTCACATGCCATCCTCAACTTGAAGACACAAGTCTCAAACAGGTGCTAGATCATGATGGAGTCAAAGACCTAATTACTTGCTTTACATTGTACGTCATAGCAGGGTCTTTGATTAACTCTCATCTCTTCCATGCATTGACTGTTGAAGTGCTTTCAGTGCTTCAAGGCAGATGCTGCCAAATTGGTTATTCACAGAATCATAGGATGGTTTGGGTTAGAAGGGACCTTTAAAGGTCACCTAGTCCTACCCCCTTTATTTTTGTTGCTTTCTTGCTAGAGGTTTAGGGTATCATGTAGTTTATTCTCAGTTACAATGGTGCTGGATGTTCACCTGTGAGATATGTGTAATGGAATCATAGAATAGTGGTACCCATTCTGGATGGCTCTTCTGTCTCATCTTGGAAGGTGCTAAGCAGGTTTCAAGTGCAGAGGAGTTAAGCATTAGATCAGTAACATTAATGGGAATCTGAAGTGTATATTCTGGCAAAAATTTGTTCATCACCCATCATAAAAACAAAATATTCTACTTTAAACTACTGTTGTGGTAGAATCTCTCTGCCTAGAGATCCACTAAAAGGAGAGAGCTGACTAGCTCATACAGGAGAAGGAACTTTAAGAGAGAGATCTTCATGACCTGACTTTTCTCCAGTTTATTCGAGCGAGAATCATGAAGCCATTTGTTCTTTATAGGTGTAGTTACATGATGATGATGTCCTGAGGCACAGGCATAATGTATTCTAGCCCTGGGGCTCTTTTGTTAGATAACTGTTGTAATGTGGGTTTGGATCCAAAATTCAAAGGCCAGTACTTATATTGCAGGTTGATTTGGGTTTTGCATCCTTGGAGGCACTAACATGTAACAGTTTAAGTTAGTGTTGTGGGGTTTTTTGTTATTCTCCACAGCTGTGCCCTGATTCTGATCTAAATCCAAGAATTAGTCTTGGATTAGTCATTGTTAAACTGCAGTAATAAATTCCAGTAGCACCAACTTGTAGCCATTTACCATGCTTGGCTGGAGTTGATTGTTAATAGCACTTATGCTCCTAGTGTCATTTGGAAGGGCCATAACTGTACTGAGTCTTTGCCAAGCTTGGAGGCAGAGCAAAACTTTATTTGCTTATTTGTATTCTCCTGTTCTGCCCCTAATTCTGTGTGCTGATGAGTTTACTGCTGCTGGTACAGCTCTGAGATGCTTGCTGACCCAGAGAGGTGCTTCTGAGTGCAGATGGTCAGAGTAGGACATCATCATGTTGCAGTTGTCCTCATGTGTGCTGTACAATGGCAAATTGTACCATTCTAAAGGATTCTGTTCTCTTCTGTGGGGTTTTAATTGCTTAAGTTCAAACTATAGGTTTTTGAAAAACAAAAGGGCTGAATATCTGATCTTTTGGGTGGGTTTTGAGAGTTTTTCTTGTCAGGTGTGGTGTTATTTGGGCCCAGTGAACGAGATTCTCCGAAGGCAAATTAGAAGGTCTCTTTCAGCAGAAGTGGGTGCACATCTAAACTGTCATTTTGGTCAATGTCTAGTAATTGTTTCATAATACAGTTCAAACCCTTGCATTAAACAGAACAGGTTGAGGCCAATAAGCTGGACAACTGGAAGAAAATCGTGATAGGTTCAGCTGGTGCCTGGCATCAGAGCAGCCTGTCCATATGCTAAATGTTTCTGCAGCCAAGTGGGCTGGGACTATGAGTGGCCACATGTGAGGCAGAATAATAAAGCTGGGAGGGAGGAACGTGGTTCCCTGAACAGCTTTATAGAAGCAGCTAAAACTGGTGAAAGAAGCTCAGCTAGTCATGGAAAAATCATTTTTGGGGACAGAAATAAATTTCTAGCTACTTTTGGTGGACATAATTGTTTTGTGTGGAACACATTGGTTAGAAACACATGGAGGGTTCCATGGATGGAGTTTGCCTTGTCTGCTGGTTACCTGTTGGGTGCTGGCTTAGTTGGAGGAAGTGAGATGTTTTGATGGGTCTCATCACTGATCACTCCGGTGAATTTGTGCTGCAACGGAGCTTTGCCAGAGATATGGACTACTTGGTAATAGCTGATCAGGTTTTTTTTGAAATCACACTAATTTTGGTAGCAATTTTGTTTTATTTCTAACTTACCAGGTGTTAATTTAGAATTACTAATTAAATGTAGGCTGTGAACATTTGGCAGGGCTTATAATTCTTTCCTTCCATGTAGGCAGTATGTTACCTAAGATGAGAGCTGTGGTTTTGAATGAAAGAGGATGGTAGAAAATGCACCACAGTTCAAGAAGAGGTGGGACGATTGCAAGAAGTGGTGGCAGAAGTTTGAGGAATAAAGTAGCTTAATGCTGTAGATGGAAAAATGTGGTGGTTTTTTTTTTTGGTTTTTTTTTTAATCAGTTTGCACAGACAAGAGTCTGCCCTAAGTGACCTGAATTTAAGTTCAGCTGTACCTTGAAAGCAAAATACCAGTTGTCAGAATGGCCCTGGGTTCTACAGTTTTGTTTACATTACCCACTAATTCAATTCCTTCTCCTTTATGTATCCTTATTTACTTGGTTTTATCTCTCATACTTGTGTGATGGAAGGTCCATTCCCACCTGCCTGCTCAAGCTTTCTTCATATCTGTCTTGAGCATGCAAGATTGGGACCAGTAACAAGTCAATGTAGAAAAGTGTTACTTTATTTTTAGAAAGCTGTTTCCTGGAAAGCTCTGCATTTGCAGGCATAATTACAGCTCTTTCTTCCTAGCACCTTTCATGCAAGCATACACTGTCTTCATAAGAATTTCTGATTGTATCATAATTCAAAGGAAAAAGGATGTAACTGTTCCTTAGCTGGATTTTATGTTTTGTCTAAGCTACTGAGAGTCATTAATTGTTGCTCCAGAGCAACACCTGATTTATGAGTTTAATTCTATGCGGATATTAGTGATATTCAAGTCATGGGAGATGTCAAGTTTACTCTCTTGTGTTTCTAGATCTACCAGAGATGCTGGTTAGTATTCAAAAAAGCTTCAAGCAAGGGTCCAAAGAGGCTGGAGAAGTTCTCAGATGAACGGGCTGCTTACTTTAGGTGCTATCACAAGGTAAGACCTATGGTTGTTTCTCAAACTTTTCAGAGGCAGAAACAAGAATAAAATCTGAAGTTGACGTGTATTAATTGGCATGAAAACTGGAACTTTTTTTTTTACTATCAAGCTTCTAAACCCACTTGTATGTTCCTGCATTCAGTGAAGCAGAAGCAGAGTAAGTGTTCTATTCTCTGCTTTGTAGCAAGCACTTTGTGAAACTAATAGAAAATAACTGTTTTTAGAGATTATGTTCTTTTTCTCTCCTCAGACCCTTAAAATAAGATCTGAAATACTTTGCAATGATTACTACTCTTAATAATTACAGTAACAACCATCCAAGGTAATACACTAGTGCATACTTAGAGGTCCCTTTTTAAAAGTATTTTGCATCTATGGGAAGGCAGTAGGCAGCTGCAGAAATGAAGGACAACACAAAAAATTTTCTTACAATGATGGTGTGAAAACCTTTGCTAAATGCACTGGTATTAAAAATATGAAGTTTTGCCCTCTAATCTGCTCTTTGGAGTTCTGCGCATATTTCATATTCAACTGAGAATTTACATGTGTAATTCTCCTGGGCACAGAGATGAATATAAGAAACCCTTTAATTTATAATCATTGTTGGCAAAAACTTAATATATTAGAAGATTAGGAATTATGTGCATAAATTCCTAGGAGTCTGTGAGCACAGCTCAGCTTGAGGCTGATCTGCACTTACTCACTGTGACATACATTTAGCAGGAAATCTTGAGGGAATACTGAATCTGAATTCAGACTTGTCTGTCTCTATGCCACATAATTTGTAATCGATGGGTCATAAAACCTGTGGCTATTTGTAGTTAGTCATGCCCAGAAATAGTTCATTCAAATTTATATTAGGCAACTTTCAAAAGTAATAAGTAGTCCTTTTTTTTTTTTTTTTTAATTGCATTTGATATGTGTGAGGACTGCACAGTGTGTTAGAGACCATTTCCAGCTTTGTGTGAAATGCTGCATTTCTGTTAGCCTGGCTCTGTCAATTACTGATGCAAATCTGTATTTCTTCCGTGGTAGCAGCACATCATGACTCAATGTTCACATTAGGTAATGGATATGAAATCCAAGAGGAATCTAAATGAATCTGGGCTTTATTTCTTCTTTTCTTTCAAGAAGTTCTGTAGGTTAGCACTTATTTGTCAGATATACAGCCTGACAGCACTTTCCTGTGGCTGGATCTGCAGACTGAAGCAAGAAAGTCTCACTGGCTTGGAGGGATTTTCAGGTTTAAGTCAAACGTAACCTATACTTAACAGTTACTTAATTTTAAAGTATTGCTTCTTCTGTACATTTAGTTTCTGTATTTCCCTGGTAGCTCAGCTGACAGGAATAAACAGCAGTCAAACTCCATGATCAGTCACTGGGAATTGATTGTTCATTTTAGTAGCTGCGAAGCTCTTGCTTTTCTGCTTATGAAAGCTGTAACTGTAGGTAGTTGGATCTGTAATATTGACAGTTATAGACATTAAAGCACACCCTAGTTTGGCTGAAACTTTAAGAAACATTGTCATAGCAGTAAGAGAGCTTACACACATACTTTGGGTGGTTTTTTATCACAACTGAGCGAAATCTATGATGGCAAATGAGACTGTCCTTTACGTATAGAGCTACACAAGTTGACAGACCCTGTTTATTTTTAGTGAGCCTTACTGAAAGGAAGCCAATGAGTATTAACTAGCATTTTCTAGCTAAAATATGTTAATTTACAAAGAGCACAGGTGAGTAAAAATGAGTTTCTTTTTTAAATAAGCTTTGTAAATGTGTGAAATTCTAAGGTGGTGAATGATGCAGCTTCTAACAGTAATAAATGAGGTGTTGAAAAAGGAGAGCTTATCACTGCTGCTGTGTACTAGTCTGTAGTTGAACTGAGTCATATAAAAAGCATAGTTAATTATTAATCAAAAAGCTCCAACAAACAATATGGCAGAGTCTTCAATTAACACTACTTATCACCTGGTTTTGATATATAGTATTAAAGGCACTTTGGTACTCAACATTTCATCCAGAGGTGTAGGAGTCATTGCTGCTATCTTGAGACACTTTTGGTCAGCAAGAGCAGCTGTTGCAATGGCAGCTTGATGGTGTGTCATGGCTTTTCTGTGACTATTCTAACTGTCCCTCCTGGACAGAAGGCTTCTTCTCCTGTCTCTGACAATCAAGTTAATCCTACAAATGAGGAACCCAGCCAGTCCTATTAACATGTCAAGTGTCTCTGTGGCTTAAGCTTGTGCTGACGAATTTAGGGACAAGTGCAGTTGAGTCTGATAGATGATAAGAGGAAAACCTCACTTGAGCAGTGTTTCAGAAATTTGGTTGTTAACTTCCTACCTGGGTTCTATGTTGATTCTCAAATGCTGTTGAATGCAGCACCAAATCTAGAAAACTGAGGAGCCCCCACTCACCCCATCACTCTCAGGAAAGATTTAATCCATCATAAAACTGTAAAGGGTAGAAAAGGAAAAATATTGAGTGGAGCTAATTTTTCAGTAGCACCTGCCTCCTTCACAAGTGGAAACAGACTGTCCAGAGCACTTGCTGTGTTGGTCACCAAGTGACCACTGGAGCTGAGTGCTGTGGTCTGAGACCATGCATCATCTCCTTGGCACTTTTATTCAGTCAGGGTCTCTCCTGTACCCATCTGAAGCTGGGGTCACAAGCAGTGTTTCTGGGGTGTCTTGGGCATGTTTCTCTTACATGGGGGATCCAGTTTGTTCACATTTAATACTGGCTGTAGATGTCCCTTTGTGCAGCCCTGCAGCAGGGGCTGAACGTAGCCATCATTTTCACTGGAAGTTTAAGACAACAAAAGAAACACTTTCAGTATAATATTGACTTTCAAATACTGCCTAGTTTTGTTTCATATTTTTAAAAGTGAAAAGGTTAAAGTGTCCTAAAGTACAGGTCATCTGAGAACAGTCATCTGCTTATGAAGTGAACTGGAAATTTGCATGCACAAAGCAAATTGCCCACTTAATTCATTTGGTCCCACAAGGGAGAGAAAATAATTAGGATCCAGGATACAAAATCTATGCAGAGAATTGCCTTCCAGGTATCTGTCTAGTTTTCACTTGTTTAATGTAAATAATCAACCAGAAATTACCATATGCTTTAACAAAATAATACTGGAGGAAGACATTCTCATTTCTCCAAGTGACTTTGGACTTTACAGTGTGCCAGAAGAATATTTAATATTCCAATCCAAATCAACTAATTGCATACAACAGACAGGAATATACTGATTCCTGGAGGGGATCTAAGTTTTAATCCGATTGTATTAATCTTGCCTCGAAACAGCAGAAGTAATTTAAACCCTCTTTCTATCCAGTTGTGGAATAATCCATTGGAAAATTGAATTGTGTAATTTGTAATTGTTTTCCAGGCTTGGTAATGCAAAACTGTATCAGTAACAAAGTAAATGTTTTAAGTATGACCACTCTGCTAATAACTGGCTGTTAAGCATTTATTTTAATGAATATTGTCACTTACTATGAATTAAATGTCTGTTTTGAGGCGTTAAGAGAATCAAAGTAACTCGTCAGGATATTTTGGTATCTTCACTCTAATGCCCTACAGTGTGGTACAGGTGCATGTCCTTCCATGTGGACATATTTGACCATAGGTCCACTCATCCTGTGAGTGAAGGAGCAGCCTCTGAGTGAGGGTAAAAACTGAATCTCTGCATCTGGAAGTTGTTCCTGGATTTCATTTCTTTGAATAAGCCAGTGCTGGACTGCAGGGGGGGTATGGCCAGTGTGTGCACTTCTGTTTGTGGGCAGGTGAGAACTAGCAGCTGATGATTTTTCCCACTGAAGAAAGGGTGATCTAGGCATGGCTGTAAATTTTATTTGTATTTTAAAAAAAATATTTAACTATATAAAATTTTAGTATGTTATGGATGCTTAATAAGATAGGTAAGTAAAGGCAAATCTTATATGCAGGACTGGGCTGGAATTGCAGCAGCATCTTCCATTAGATGTTTCTTTGATGTGTTCTGGGGAGTGTTCTACCTGTATTCATCATGGTGGGAATTTTCAGGAAGCCAAGATAGAACCATGAAGACCGTAATTAAAACACAAAATACATGAAAACTATTGCATGTGGTCCTTGCGTAGGCAATGAATATACTCCCTTGTGTTGCACTCCGAAAGGCTACCCAGATTTAAGAATTATATACTTAGGGGATACCAAGTTTAAATGCTAAAAACGGTTTGTAGGAAAGTGTGTGTTTGGCAAGTTTTTGAAGTGAGTGGGAGAGGTAGAAGGATTTTGGCCTGAGTGTGTCAAGCCAGGGTGAAGCTCTGTCTGCTTGTACTGTCAGATGGGAAGTGAAGGCTTAATCCCTGTTCCTGGTTCAGAACTCTCTTACCACACAGCTCTGCAAGGATTTCAATTTTTAATTTTTTAGTTTTGAATCTAATGAAATGTATTCCAGTTATATGTGTTGTCATCTTAACATAAAGGAGGCTTGAAAGTAAATGGTAGGGGAGAAATATGCAAAAGGAAGTCTTTAGCCCCTAACAAATATTATGCTTGTGATTTCTTTCTTGATATTGTCTAGGTCTGATATTTGTGGTTTACCTGCCTTTTTAGAGCTAAATTTACAAATGTACAGTACTTACTAATCTTGGATAAATAAAACATACATTAATTAAAATAACCACAAAAATGCTGTTTTGCAAGAGCCTGACAGGAGGAGAATTATTTTAAGAATGCAAAAAAAAGGAAGAAGACTTCAGCCTCAGATATTTGCAGGTGTTTGGTGTCTGCTCCTGACTCCTTTCCAAAAGGGTGGCAGAGGGGATGTTAGCAGCCTGGCACTTCTTCAGTGTGAATTTGGTGCATATGTGCCAGACAATTTGAACCATCTGTTGCACAAGGGTGAGCGATGGGAAGGCTATTTAGACACCTGGGGTAATGATGAAGCACCTTGCTGGGTGACACAGCAGGTCAAATATCAAATGATCTTTAGACAACCTCTCCCTGAGGAGCACAGGTGCACTGTCGAGCCTTGGCA